CTTTGAATCGAAATTAAACTAAGAAGTCATTCATTACAAGATGATAACAAGATCGAAATAATTCAGACTTCATCTATACTATAATTGAAGAAATCCATATCTATAGAATATGATTGTTCTGTCTAGAAATGCACTCAATTCAAACGCCGAACTTTTTAGTAATAGATAAAGATATACAATAAAAATTATTTGATTTATAAGAAGGCCATCTATAACTATTGTCGGTTTCAAAATATAGCGCATTTCACTGTTTTTCCAATAACTAAAGTACGATATGAACTACAGAGCTGCGATTTTCATTAGTCTATAAAGGAGATACGGGGAGGTCTTTTTATCCAATCTTTTATAAGACGAAATCGTTTTAAAATCAATTATTTCTGCAAACTTGCAAAAAATTCATGAAAACTGACTATCATTTCGGTAAAATTTTAATTATAATATGTGATTTAGATAGACAAACTTCAGTTCTATAGTTTAAGGTATAACTCGAATAATTATCTTCCAACATCGTAATGCTAAGCAAAACAAATTGTTTATTTGCTTCCTTAAAACATATACATTTTTTCTCAATTTTTAAGCAAATTTTCTTACTTTTTGTTAAAATTTCACGGAAATGATAGCCAGTTTTCATGCATTTTTGCAATAGTTTACAGAAATGATTGATTTTAAAACGATTTCGTCTCATACAATATTGGGTATAAAAACGTCCCAGTATCTCCTCTATCGACTGATGAAAACCACAGCTCTGTAGCTCTTGTCGTACTTGGAATATCACAAAACCGGTGGAGCGCACTATATTTTGAAACGAACAAGACTATACGTTTTGTGAAAGTAACATATATAAGGACTGTCATCGATTTCTGGTCATTTTGAGTTTTTATGCATTTTCAAATATACATGGTTCGATAGACATTAAAACTATATACTTGTAATACCTAACGTATAATCTTAAATTCGCCATACGCAGCTGACATCGGTTTCATTCCCAATCTAATGTCATATTCATGGGCACATAGTAGCAGTCTATTATGTGCTATATTACTTTGAATTCGATCAATTAATATCAATGAATAAATTCAAAAACTTTTGAGTCTCTCCTGTCTCATGATTATAAGGTCCCCCACCTTCTCAATAGAAGAGTATTGAATTAATGCAAACTTTACCAACTCAAATAATTATTTTAAGGATCCATTCAAAAGAGAAGACACCCAGCTATATGCTGAAAAAATAGATTAGCGAAGACTAATTTAACTTTGCTACCGTTTAAGAAATTAAATGTTAGAAATGTTAAATCTCAAAACTATCACTATGTAGTTCGAAAAAAATAAATGATCGCTTCTTCAATGTAACAAAATTAAATTTAAAGTATACCATTGGAGAGTGAATCAACAGCTGCATAGACTATATGTGTTTTGACAAAAGAATTTCAAGTTCTGAATAATTATGAAAAGATACTCGAAATATCTCTTTCCTTAGAGATTATGTGAAAAATGTCTGTTTTCGTGAGTAAAGCTTATGATTTCACATAAGAAAGAATATTTTTTTTTCTCAAGGATATTAATAGAAAAAGCGTCAAATTATGCTCACGATAGGCTATTTTTCCTATCTCAGAAGTCAATTTCAAAAGCCTTAAAAAGATGCACTTTTGAATGTCGCCAACATATCGTATTTCCGCCAGCAGATTGAGGCATCGCTTTGTCTACTTTGTGAGAGCGTGTTTTCAAATTTTTTCGAACTAATTTACGAAAAGGTAAAAGTAACCTATCTTGTGCAGAATGTGACGCTGTTTCTATTGATGTCCTTGGGAAAAAAATTATATGCTTTCTTATGTGAAATCATAAGCTTTACTCACGAAAACAGACATTTTTCACACAATCTCTAGGGAAAGATATTTCGAGTATCTTTTCATAATTATTAAGAATTTGAAAGTCTTTTGTCAAAACATATATAGTCTATGCAGCTGTTGATTCACTCTCCAATGGTATACTTTAAATTTAATTTTGTTACATTGAAGAAGTGAACATTAATTTTTTTCAAACTACATAGTGATAGTTTTGAGATTTAACATTTCTAACATTTAATTTCTTAAACGGTAGGAAAGTTAAATTAATCTTCGCTAATCTATTTTTTCAGCATATAGCTGGGTGTCTTCTCTTTTGAATGGATCCTTAAAATAATCATTTGAGTTGGTAAAGTTTGCATTAATTCAATACTTTTCTATTGAAAAGGTGCGGATCATATAATTATGAGACAGAGGACTGAAAAGTTTTTGAATTTATTCATTGATACTAATTGATCGAATTCAAAGTAATATAGCATATAATAGACTGCTACTATGTGCCCATGAATATGACATTAGATTGGGAATGAAATCGTCTTTAGTTGAAGAAATCTTTATTGTTCTCAAAATTCAAGTGGGGATCTCATAGTTTTGAGAACGTCTGTATTTGTAAAATTGATGTTATACTCTTTTTAGCTAAGATGAGAAAAATGTCAGACATCCAAACACTGTGATTCATTTTTATCATTGTAGTCTTATGGAGTCTAATGATAAAAGAAGGTTTTGATGCAGAGTTTTACATCGTTAGAATAAAAGTATGATAAAAAGAGTAGAAAAACATAATGCAGATGTTAATTGGGTACACTAAATTTTGAGTACTAACTGAGATGCTACTCTCAAACATATGTTGTATGCCTATTCATCGTTAAATATCGAAAAAATACTTAAAAAAATCAAAATATACTCAAAACTTATGAAACGGTATATATAGAAACTTTTTAATGATTTCTAGCTATAGGATGTGCTACTTCCTGATCTCTGCTGATTCAGAGTGGCCCATTTACTTTACTTTTTATTTAGGTAATCACAGTAAAGTAAATACTGTCGTTACTTTTTACTAGTAAAGTAAAAGTAAAGTGCCACCCTTTGGACTTGATTTTTTCACTAAAGAAAGGATTTTTTGAGGAAATAATGATTATTTATAAAGTTTGATCAGAGGCAATCGGGGTTGAGGAATCAGAATCTGTAATCAGTTGTTCATCATCTTCAGTATAACTTTCCCATCGGGGAAAAGGTATGTGTGAGAATTAACGATTTTTAATAAAGTTTAATCAAAGGTCTTGGTGGTTGAGGAATCTGAATCTGTAGTCGGTTTCTCAAAATTTCAGTTTGAGATTTTGACTAAAAGATACTTCTTTAATAAAAAATTATATTTTAGTAAAAAATTTAAGTCAAACTTTTGAGAAACCAATTACAGATTCGAATTACTCGATCGCGATTACCTTCGGTCAAACTTTACAAAAAATCGTTTTTTTTCAAAAAATTCTTTCTTTAGTCAAAAAACAAGTACCGAATTTCGAGAAACTGACTACTGATTCAGATTCCTCAACTCCGAACACCTTTGGTCAAACTAATTGCTTTTTACTTGTAGATAGTAACTAAAACAGTTAGGTAGTTACTTTTTACAAGTAAAAAAGTAACTACTGCAGTTACGTTTTACAAGTAAAAAGGTAACTACTGCAGTTACGTTTTACAAGTAAAAAGATAATTACTGCAGTTACGTTTTACAAGTAAAAAGGTAACTACTGTAGTTACTTTTTACAAGTAAAGTAAAAGTAAAGTGCCACCCCTACTGCTGATAGGAGCAGAAAAACTAAAACATGGCAATTATTTTTTTTCTCTAAAACATAAATAGAACGACGAAAGACTGATATTATCGATTACGGTCGATAGCTTTATATATATCTGCACTGCGGCACTAGTGCAATTTGTCGCATCTCACTTAATTGATTCTTTTTTTGTGCAACCAATCGAAATAAAATAAAAAAATGGAAATTTGTAAGAGATGTGTGTAATGCAAGGGAAAACGGCAGACTCCATGAATCACTTGAATCCACTTGAATCCAGCTGAATTCACTCTTAAATAGGATCCTTAGTTTTATAAAAACAAAATATTATGCTTTCCATTTCTTTCATTAACTATTGAAAATAGAAATACGATGCCAGTAAAGAAAAAACTTGGATTTGTGCAGAAGTTTAATGAATCATTCGATGACTGTCTTTTTCAAAAAAAAAAACTTTGTTACTAATATATTATGTTTGTTAAAAAATCAACTGTAAAATGTAAAATATATTAAAAATGTACAAGATAAAGATATAAAAATCGAACTCTTAATAGAAAAAATAAACTAAACAAGACAACAACAAGTAAATTACCAAGTGAAAAAAATTAGCTAAATATAAAGTCTTACTATAAAAGAGAACATTAAAGTAATCGAAGAAGTACTAATAAGACAATGCTCGACATGTGGATATTATCTCCTTCTCGTTCTTTTTGCTGATTCTCTTAAGTTATGTGAAGATTCAATTATTTGACGTTTTTTCATTTGTCTTTTAGTTTTTAATGATGATGATTGTTGCATAATGTTTTCATTATTATCCGTTGTTATTGTTGTCAAAGAAGATGCTGTGGACAACGTAGAATTTAATTGATTTGTATCTGATGATGGTATAATCGGAATCAAATTTGGTGATGTAACTCGTTGAGGTACATTATCTGATGTTGTCAATGATTGTAGATTATTTGTTGATGATGATAATGGTAATTGAGAATTATTTAACATGTTTTTCAGTGCAGGGCATACATTACTTAAACCTTGTAGATGACGATAGAAATTCGAAAGTTGACATTTTCCACGTCTGAATGTTCATGTTAACCATTTTTTGCAAGAGCACTTTATATCACATTTTTATTTACCAGTTGAATCATTCTGTATTGAAATAGAATAATGTTCACCTTCGACTAAAGAAAATCGCTCACCGTTAAATTTTGATTTGTTGTTCTCGCACCAGTAATTGACTGTATCAATAATATATGCTTTATGTTCATCCACCGATAAATTAGAAGATTTGGACACTATTATTTTTGGCGAACCATTGGATGGAACAGATTATGTTGGTTTCGCTATTGTCGATGATTCGCCTAATGCTATATCTAATGATAATACTGACGATGATAATTGATTACGTTTTGTGGGCTTAGCTGATTTCGCATCCTCAATACACTTTTTTAAACAAATCAATAAGATATTCTATATTTTCTTTTATTCCAGGTTGTACAATAAAGGGCCCATTATCTTGCATATAACCATTTTTGTTTTCAAAGCCATCTAGACTCTTACTCTTCACCAGCATAACGGCATAAACATTATCGGCCATCAGCAACGACTTAACACAATTAATACCTTGTATTTCAAGTAGAGCAGC